TATTAAGGAAGGGGGAAAAAAAGGTTTTCATTTACTTTTTGATTTTTCCATAACAACACTTTCCATAATCAATCAACTTTGGCTTCCTGGAGACTGAAAATGTCTAAAATACATTATGTCCTGAAACATGTTTTATTTATTTATTTATTTTTAATTCAACTACATTCTAAAACAACAGCAAATTATTCAAACACAACATGACACGTGTTTACCTGGATACTTACATATCGCAGCTGTCATGACTTGGTGGTTAAAAAAAAAAAAATTGACAAAGAATGTCACAGAACTGGCTTTGTGTCATTCTTGACTGTGTTTACCTGGATACTTACATATCGCAGCTGTCATGACTTGGTGGTTAAAAAAAAAAAAAATTGACAAAGAATGTCACAGAACTGGCTTTGTGTCATTCTTGACTGTACACCTGGGCATGACAGCACGCTCACACAATAGTTTCCTCTAGTGTTCACAACCACAAACTTCAAACCGGGAGAAAAGAAATGAAACAAACAGAAAAAACACCGTACCTGTCCCTCCAGCATGTCTCTCTGCATGCCTGGTCTGTCCTGCTCGGTGCTGTTGGTCCTCCTAATGGAGAGACTGTGCGACTTGCGCTTCTGTTTGACTTGACGGGCGGCTGCGCTGTTTCCACTTTCAACAGGCATCACTCCTCAGTGACGTCCCTCTACGCAACTTCCTACCTGAAACTGAGCAATCAAACGGCAGGGTTTGCCCCATCCCACAGCAACGGAGGAATATAATGTGCTCTTTGCTGGACACTTCGTTGTACACCCTATTTCTGTCTGTGATATATAAATAACAAGTTAAACATTGAGGGAGGAAACAGTAGGTAAGCCTTTGTTGATGACATACCGGAGGAACATGTTGTCTTTACTGGCTGTAAGTTGATTTAATGCTAGTTATGTATACATCGTAAAACTGAAGCGTTCAAAGGAAGCTGTTGTAAAACTCGAAGAGACGTTTTGACTGAGCAGGTGATTATGACTCCAAATGTCAAGATGAATCTCATGAAAACGGTCAAAAAATGTCCAGGACATATTTCACCACAAAAAAAGAAAATAAATGAAGTATATTTTAGTAATTTAGCACATTTGTCACTAAAGTAAAGTAATTAATTAAAAACTAAAGTAATTTAGTACTAATTTAGCAGTAATTTATCTATTTTTAATTAAGAACACTGTCCTCATTTTAGGTAACTTATTGTAATTTGAATTAGTTTAATATGAATATGAAAATATGATATTTTCTATAAATAATATTTTAGATTTTATAATAATAATAATATTATATTATAATATTTCATTGTAAAAAGAAAATAATGACTGACTGAACAGAAAGATTTTCATTTAATTTTTCGCATTCCTGTGACAAAATGTATTGCTTAACAGCACTTTCCTCATATTGTTGTAGCCCAAAATTTTATTATTATTTCTTTACAATATTAAGAATAATCTTTTCATTTTGCATTTAAAAAAACAAAACATTCACATTACAATAAAAAATATTTAAGAAGAAATTAGCTTAATTATCATGAAAATGGTCATTAAGATTTATGCGTTATTTTCTTTATGCTAAATATAATTTCAATTTTTTATTTTTTATTTTTTTTTTAGGGTGAAATATAACTTGGACATTCGCGTTTTTAGATAAAGCAATGGGTGTTATTGTAACGTAAAATGAATATATTAAGTGAGTTCATGAAGTGTTAAATTAAAAGTTAAACTCATTATCAAAAAAGCAAGCAGACCTTTATCCACAACAACATACAACAAAAATGTTAATGTCAGCCTGAGCATCTTAACAACTCGTAAAGTAAAAATAATTATATATCAAACATAATGCTAAATAAGGAGCATGCAAAAAAAATTTAAAAATCCAAATACCAGCCATGAAGAGCAGTGAATGATAAAGAAAGCAGACACATCCTCAGATGACCGCTTAAAGTGATGAAGAAGATCTCAACAGGAAGCCCAGGGCCGCACTCCAGCACTGAACACAAAACAACACCATCTATCCTTCACAAACATGACAATGAAGAGAGGAAAAGCTGCAGGCACGGAGTGACGGCATTCTCACAACCTAAAATAACAGAGAGGAGGTGGACGGATGGAGAGCAGGTAAAACAGACAGCTTTGAGCTGATGAGGTTAGTGGGTATGAACAACTCATATGTGGAAAAAAATAACATGCATGAAGTATAAGCACCTGCAGCATCATGCTCTGGACTTTAAATCCAGTTCTGTCGTGCAAACTGTTGTGTTCGATGCAACTCTCCACTGATAGAAATCATTACATAAGTTGCGTCCCAATTGACGCACTTATAGACTATGCCCTGTGTACTCAGCCGTGTAATGTATGACTTTTGTAAGGTTATTTTGTCATTCATAATTGGAGTCTGATAGCCCCTCCTGGTTTTTCGGTTCAAGGCAGGGTATGTGATTTTTCAAAAACACTTTAGAAAACTGGTGCTGTGTGTACATTAATGAGGAAAAAAAATTAACTTAAATGATTTTAGCAAATGGCTGCAATATAACAAAGAGTGAAAAATTTAAGGGGGTCTGAATACTTTCCGTACCCACTATATATATACACACACACACACACACACAGTGCCATGTAAACACCATGGTAATGTCGTGGTATATTGTCCGAAAATGTTTCTTCAGATGTTTTAAAGTGTTTTACAATGTACAACTTCTTGCAGACCACTTATGAAAACATTTGACTGCCTGTGACTGCCACAACATCAAAAACGTCAGGTTTTATTATTATTCTTGTCTCAAACGTATAACAATCCTTGATCGAACACACACACACACACACACACACCTGATCATAAACACAGAGACACACACAGCAGTTTGAGACAAGGTCAGCTGGCCTGCTCGGTTAAAACAGCACTAACCCAGTAAAACACGCTGCTCGTTCTCAGCCACGGGCCCCGTGTGTCAGGTGTGTCTGACAGCAGCTGTGATGAGAAAGTCTAACTCGCCTGATTATCAGCTAATCCTCCATCATGACAAACAGCAGCGCCTCTGCTTTCAGTCATACTCACAGTTATGAGCGCGTCTGTCAGTCGCTGATGGTGGGGTGCTGTGTATTGGAGTCCTCTAGCATGATCCACACAAACACACACTGCTGATTCTCTCAACTAATTCACCGGGATTTTCACACTTTGTGTGAAATGTTTTGTTTTTTTTATAAAACCCGACACTGTCAGCAGAGTGTGAAGCAAGAGGAAATGACAACGGATCTGACGAGCCACCAGCCGGATGTAACACTTCAAAATAAAAGTCTCAACGTTATTCACATAGATATGTATACATATGATGTTCATAATATTTTTTTTCTCCTGTATGTATTAATACTGAAACGCCTAGGTAAATCTCTCCACAAAAACGCATATGCAACTATATTTGTAAACAAATTATAATCATTCAATTATTAATAATTCAGATTACAGAGAAAATTTACATTGCCTTTATGTAATAACATACAACAGACGGAGATTTTTTTTTAAAAGACGAAAGATGAAACAACTATGTGAAAAAAATATGTTGGGTCACATATGGAAGTTATGTGCATTAATACAAATTATTTGTAATATTAAATAGTCAACTAAATGCGAAAACAAATCGATTACATGAGATGTCAGATAAAAATATAATTTCATGTGAAAAACTATTGTTTATTTATTTAAATGATGTTGACGTCAATTAAATTACTGATTACAACTGTATTTTTAAAATATATTTTCAATATTATTGTTGTTGTTTGTTTTAGTGATAATAATAATTATTTTATTTATTTTTTTATTTTTTTAATTGACCTAAAATGTGTTGATATTTCCAGTATAATAATTTAATAATAATAATTAAATTATTATTAATTATTAATATTAATATAAATATTAACTATTATTAACTATTAACAGTATAATTGTTAATAGTTCCGTTACTGTATTGAATAGTACGCAAAATATATATAATTTATTTTTTCTTTTAACGTCTTGCTTGCTTGATTTCCCTCGGCTTTTCCTGTCAACCACACCCGGAAGACAGCCTAGATGAATATTCACCAATCCGAAGACGGCTTCATTCCCAACAACCAATCAAAACCTTTGGCATGAATGTCATTTGTGGGCGGGGAGTCGGAGTGCTCGTCAGATTAACCAGTGTTCAGTCTGGAAGTGTGATCGGCGCGTTATAAAGACAGATCGAGCATTTAGCGCTCTAGCGGCGTGAGTGTGTGAAGCGCTGCTTTATCGCTGGGTCGTAGAGCAGAAGTACAGTGTTGTGTGGCGTGATGGCGTGTCTGTAGAGTGCTGGGCTGTGATTGGTCAGCGCGCTGTGCGCTCATGGCGCGGTTGCTATGGGCGGCGAGCAGATCCGCGGCTGCGCTGCTCTTCAGAGTAAATAAAGCCGCAGCACGAGCTCAAACTCTTCATCTACCTGCTCGACAGCACACACTTCTGTACAGGTGAGTGCAGCAAACATTCGCATAACATTCATACTGTGCACTTCACGAGCTGCTGGTTTTACAGGCCTTAAATAATGCTTCCTTTTAATTTAGCACAATGCTAAACGAATTTTTGTCGATTGTTTTTGTAATAATTATTGTAAATTATTTAGTTATCATTTATTTTATGTTCACGTTCTTTGCTTAATATTATTTAGTTATTATTACGCTTATGCTTTTTGGCTTTTAAGTAAATTAAACTTTTCTAAGTGTAAATGTGTTTCAATTTATTTAATAGGGTTTATATATATATATATATTAGGGGTGTAACGGTACACAAATATTCGGTACGTACCTCTGTTTTAACGTCACGGTTCGGTATGATTTCGGTACAGCAAAAAACTAAACTTTTTTTTTTTTTTAATGGTTTACTGAACAAGTTGCTCAATGGTATACTACCGTAAAATTTATGTCCAATACATGTAATGTCCAATACAGTTTTTCACCGTATATAGTAGGGGAATTTACCGTTAACCATTTAACAGGTTTTTACTGTAGCATTTTTACAGTCTTTTATCGTTAAATTCACTGTCATTTTTTACAGTGTAGGGTTGGTGTAGGGCAATAGAATATACGGTCTGTACAGTAGAAAAACCATTACGCCTATGGAGAGTCCCCACAAGGATAGCTGACCAGACGTGTGTGTGTGTGTGTGTGTGTGCAGTCAGGTCAGACGGCTCAGTTCACCTGTAAGGATGCCGGAGATTAACACGGATCATCTGGATGAGAAGCAGGTGCAGTTGCTTGCAGAGATGTGCATCCTCATCGACGACAGTGACAGAAAGATTGGAGCTGACAGCAAGAAAAACTGCCATCTCAACTCAAATATTGAGAAAGGTAACGTATGCGCATGATATTTTACTGCTGATTTATAAAGTATGTGCACTGGCCCTAAAAAGTTAACAAACTTTTCTACTCTTTATTTATTTAATATATAAAGGCTTAAAATAAATGATTTCCTGGCTTCCTCACCGACAGGATTATTGCATCGAGCATTCAGTGTTTTCCTGTTTAACAGCGAGGAAAAACTGCTCCTTCAGCAGAGATCCAATGCCAAAATCACTTTTCCAGGTGTGTGTGTGTTATTTTAATATTATTTATATACTTTTATACTATTAATTCCTATTTTGCATTATCTATTAGAATTAGCTGTTATATTTTCCGTCTTTAGTATGTGCTTTTGTCAGTATTTCTATCTAAATTAATTTATTTATTTTTTAGTTTTAGTCAGTTTAATGTTATAGTTGTCAAGGCAACTTTTCCAACATTGTTCAGCTTTATTTCAATTACCAAAACAATTTGTATAGTTTTTGTTTTTGTTTAGCATTAACAACACTGGGTGTTCATAAAGTTTTACTCTTGCATTTTGCTAATTTCCTAAATTAAATACTAAATTTGTGTGGGGTTTATTTCCCTCATAAATGTGTAATTTCATAGCAAATAGTAACACAACTGGTGAGGAAGACACTAAGGGCCAGATTTACTAGCAGCTTGCACCAGCGCAACCCCTCTTTTGGCATTAAAAAAAAACTCAGTCAGACACACTGTAAAACGTAGTGATGAAAAAACATGGATACAATTATTTTTGTGTGCATTTGTAGGAGTTTCCACTCCCATCTGTACTTTTATGGGACTGCGGTCTCATGCTGAATTGCCCTGATTAGTAAATCTGGCCCCAAGTACTCACTCTCCATCAAACCGTTGGTTTGCGCTTAGACATAACACAAAACGGCATAATAAGCCTTTGTTTACTACTATTATAAAAGGTTGGCTATATGATTAAAAACACCAATGTTCTATACATTTCTAAATGTATAAATAATAATGATCACAAAAACCAATTTGTCCGAAAGTAATATGCTTTATATGTATCTGGTCTTTATAAATATAGAGTACGGAGAGGTGAGCATAATTTAAAAATGGCTCATCCAATCAGATTTTAGAGCTCAGGTTACCCTTTTAATATGTTATCATGAGCTGAAATAAAGCTTTGGTTGTTTGATATGCTTTTCCAGGCTGTTTTACCAACACTTGCTGCAGTCACCCTCTCCACACTGCCAGTGAACTGGAGGAGCAGGACGCCATCGGGGTCCGCCGCGCCGCACAGAGACGCCTGCAAGCTGAGCTGGGCATTCCCACCGATCAGGTACTGAGACAACATGGCTTCTGCGGGTCTTACAGTCTTGATTCGCCCTTCAACAAATGAAGGCCCAAAAAGGTATTAAAGAGGTCATATGATGCGATTTCAAGTTTTTCGAAGTGTTGCTAATACAACTCCTTGTCTGCTCCCTGGACGTTTATACGCATTGCATTCCCTTCAATTTATTCCTCAGCTTGGTCTTAAAAAGGTTTTAAAAAGTCTTAAATGTACCTTCATGAAACCCTGTATTCAGCAGTATTTACGGCTAAAGCCTAAGCTGCTTGTTGTCCCAGGTGCCTCCGGAAGAGATGACCTACCTGACCCGCATCCACTACAAAGCCCAGTCAGACGGCGTCTGGGGCGAGCACGAGATCGACTACATCCTCTTCATGCAGAGAGACGTGGATCTGAATCCAGACCCCAACGAGATCCAGAGCCACTGCTACGTGTCCAAAGAGGAGCTGAAGGAGATCCTGGAGAAAGCCAAGAGGAAAGAGCTGGAGATCACACCCTGGTTCAGTCTGATCGCAGAAACCTTCCTCTTCAAGTGGTGGGACAACCTCCATAACCTCAAACAGTTCATCGACCACGACGGGATCCACCGCATGTAGGCCACGTCTGGAAAGGACTTTAACGGTTAATAAAAAGACTGGACGGCTTGGCCATGAAGGGCTTGTCTTATTGTTTGTAAATGTTTGGACAAGCAGGGAGTTTTATTTTAGCATTAAAGTTCTGATTAGTAGATTAGAACTTGAATCCACTTTTCAAACTGCTACATGAATCCTGAGCATTCTATTGCTAACAAACACTGTCCATTTGTGTGAAGTGCCTAGTTTCATATGAGAGACTGTGCTTTTGAAGGAATATTTTGTGTAGATAAAACTATCAGGACTCATTGTGAGGTTTACAGTTATGTAAAGTAATTATTAGAGAAGTCAAATAAAATTTGCATTCTTCATAGTCTTATTTATTTCAACCCGTTCATTTCACAATTTTTAGAAAATGAATATGTAAAATTATGATGTATCCATCCATTCATCACTTATATGTTCCTCTCAATAATAACTTTTTAAATTATAGAATATGGTGTGTTTGGGCATTTTTAAATGTTTTTAAAAGAAGATCAAAACATTTGATCAAAAATGCAGCAAAATCAACAATATTGTGACATTTTATTACATTATTACAATTTAAAATAACTGTTTTCTATTTGAATAGAACAGAAAACCATGAACAGGCTTTCCAGAGCAAGGGAAAAGCCCATCTGAAGAGAGATAAAGGTGAGAGCAGAGAGAGAGCGAGTAAATGAGAAATCCAGAAAACATGTTGATACTGAGTCTAGCTGATGCAACCCTGAAAAATATGACGAACCTTTCTTTCAGGAGGACATGTGTTTGTGCTGATGTATTTCAATCTCAGGCCAGCATATTTTAATGTGTTCAGATTTAAAGAAGCTCAGTAAACTAATGGGAATTACAGTTTTTCTGGACATTTCTGTCCTTAAATGGAAAGAAAGACAAATCTGGCCTCATTATCTGTAAAGTTGCAAAGACTAAAGTCTCAAATCCAAAGACATATTCCAAGTAGACTACAATGCCGGCTGTTCT